GTTGTTTAGTTTCTTCGTCCATTTTCTTACTCTTTCACAGCACATTTTGAAACTAATCTGTTTTTCGACAGCTAGATCATAACCCTACGATTAGCAAGTAGTCAACAATGTATTGTGGGATAAACACGGAGACAGAGATTCTTAGAGATAAAAGCTCCGATTAAAAAAAAAAGAAAAAAAAAAGAAACGCGAATCAAACTAGGTCTAAATATAAGGATTTTCCAAGCGTAGCTTAGATGCCGAAAGTATGGGACATCCAGTGAGGATCGAACTCACTACTTAATCGTAATTATTCCAACGAGACAAGCTTGCTAACCACCCCGGAGAACTTCGGTTTACCGTCTAAAGCATTATCCAAGAAAGACAAGTTCCTGAGTCAGTGAATATGTTCTCTTTGAAATTTATTTTTTTTTTATTCAGAAATTCCTGATGCATGACGAACGTCAAATCACACGGAAAGCAATGGTTCTCGCGAGATCACCGAAGTTAAAACAGTATCAAGACCGATCGGTTACCGCTTGCCAACCCCAAACGACCTCGTACAATAAATAACCCACAAAGGCTTGATATTCTTTTATCTATTTGACGCGTCCCTTATTGAGGTATGGGATTGTAGCTCTCCACAACTCTATATCCCTTGTGTCCCTTAGGAGTTTTCTCCCTTTGCTGAGATTCCCGCCCGATAATTCCGCTATTCATTGACACAAGCTCGTCAGGTAATTGGTCCACTGCCTTCTCTCTTGCCTACAATATACCCAATGAGGGCTAAGTTTTCCAAGCCCTTCTTCGTCTTTCTATTTCCAAGCAATTTCAGCTCCCTTTCTTGATTCTGAGTATAAGTGTTATTTCTGTTGCCATTTTCTTGAAAACAACTTTGTTGCTTAAGCGCTCCGTGCACAGAATTCTCAGCATACGTTTGTAGAAACACATTTCTATTGTCGCCATTTTTCTCCTCATACTTGGATATATTGTCCGGCATCCACTGCCATATAAGAGGACGGATAACGCTTAGCAATCCAGCTTTCTTTTCTATGATTATGACGAAATTTCTCCGTTTCTCAGCACCTTGCTTAGCTTTTGGAGTGCTTCTTTCGCTAGTCCAATCCGTTTTCAGATCACGGTGCCATATTTTCCAAAGGAACGCTTCCTAGATATTTAAACCTCTGTACTTGCTTGATGCTGCCATCTCCAATTCGTAACTCGCATTTTGGGGGTTTTCTCTTGCTGATGAAGCTACTTTTTTTCTTCTTGCTATTCGAAAATACGCTTTTAAGTAGGCGCCCAAGGGGGTCGTCAGTGATGTTTTGATTTGGTTCATCAGGGAGTTTCGGGTCTTTCAACATCATACTCCCCATCTCCAAATCGACCCAATCAGGGGAGATCAAACCCTGATTCCCCCTTCCAATTAAACGCTAACAGCTACTCTGGCCTTTTTAAAGAATAAGAGGAAGACAGACCACATATTCCGCACATCCGATTGGATGTTTGTAACAACCAATCCGCTGCGCGAACTATTTTTTAAGAGAGATAGTTAATCCGTTTTTCCTCGCTTTCTTTTACTATCTCTTCTCTGGCCCCCGACTTACGTCTTTTCTCATCTTCATCAACGTCCTTCTCGATTTCTTCAGTTCCCAAATAAGTATTTTTTGCTGATAACACAAATATTTACTTAATAGTAAGTCCAATAAATCCGATAAAGTAAAGCAGGCAGGTATTCCAGAAAATGATCAACATTTATTATGTACATTATTTACATTATTTGGACTATTGTCCTCATCTTTGTCGCCATATTTATTACAAGGAATCATGGCACAGTGGATAAAGGCGTTGGTTAGATCCAGTGATAGAACCCAAAAAGTGTGAGTTCAATACCCGGTTAAGGCAGTGGAGAACTTTCAGAGGCAAAATTAACAGGAGATAACTGACATCCATTAAACATGGCACGTGGAACTAGAACAGTCTACCCCAGTGAGCGAAATAAAGGGTTCAGTTCGAAATTCCAACCACCTGAAGAAGGCCGGAGCGTACAACGGCCGAAACGTTGTGACAAATATGGCGACAAAGATGAGGACAATAGTCCGACTAATGTAAATACTGTGCTCTGTTTTCTATTAGGAGATTCGTTTGTAGGTGTTTTATTTTATCGAAATAATGTCACTCAAAAATATTACGGTTTTAAGTGATGAAGTCGATAAGCAGGAAATTCATTTTTATTTCGTTGCACTCAAGAAATAAAAGATTGTTTGCGTCATCGTAAGATGTTTTAAGTCGGTGACTACTTTTTTCTAAGTCCGACCTAATCCCAATTATACAAATTAGTTATAATTTATATGAAATCTTTAATAGTTCCACTTTGAAATTATTGACTAGCATCTAAATATCTCATTTATTACTTAAGATGAAAGAATGTGAATTTGTGGATAATTTCTGCTAAAAAATGATAAATTACAGAAATATAATTATGCAAACAAAATATTCTAGGAAAAATAAGGAATACACTAGATATTTTCCGTGAGAAAACTCGGGAGCAGCCGACAGTGTTTGGCCTGCTGGCTTTCTGCGTAAGTTCAAGGGATATGGCGTTACGGGACGAATATTTGAATTAATCCAATCGTTCCTAACAAATCGTGTAATGAAGATCGTGATAAACGGAAATTCTTCCAAATCATTTTAGAGTAACGCAGGCCTATATCCTTGGACTTACGCTGTTTCCAATCTTCAAAAAGGATCTTCGTAATTTCCCATCGAGGTATTAGGTTGGTGCAAAAATAATGACGTAATGATGATTTTTTGACGTCAAAAAATACGTCCAAAAACGACATTATTACGTCATTATTTTTGAACCAACCTAATATTTATGCCGATGACACTTTCTTAGTAGCAAATCCGACAGACCCAAGAAGCCTGACAACTGCTCTTGAAAAGGAATTCCAATCATAGGTTAACTGGGGCCTCCTAAACAAAACTGCTTTAATTTAATCACCAGAGAGAACGTTTTCTGTCTGAAATCATGCTAAACTTCAAGAAATGAAACACTGTACAACTTTTTGGCCTCACATTTTCGAACGGAGCGACTATATCGGATCAGTTGTTTAGTCTACTGCATTATGAACGTTGGCACTGTGTACCGTGCCAGAAAATTTATCTCACGAAAATCCATTTTGCACAGTTATAAATTTAGCATTCGTTCATGCATTGAATAATGCCATATCTGCTCTGGTGCTGTACATCTCGAGATTTTTGACAAAATCCAAGGAATGCTTACAACGTAATCTATCCTGACCAGGGATCTCGACTTCAGTCATTTTATCACCGACATGACGCTTCCTACCTCTGGTTTTTTTTTTTTGTTGTTTTTTTTTACAAATATTTTCATGGTAACTGCTCTGGAGTGCTTTTTTCTCCTGGTGACCTGACTACATACATACACATCTACCTATATATATATATATATATATATATATATATATATATATATATATATATATATATATATATATATATATATATATAAAAACATATCTAGCTATAAAGATCTATATGCGTGGATGAAAATTTTGAAAAATAAACTTTCCATTTTATATATATATATATATATATATATATATATATATATATATATATATATATATACATGAATTAATATAGTTTTAAGGTGTACTATATTTATGGGATAAAGTGCTCAATATCAGAGCGTATATAAATATAAATATAAAAGTGAATATTGACGTCAACACTCTGAGTGTTAACGTCAATGTTGACTTTTATATATATATATATATATTACATTATTTACATTATTCGGACTATTGTCCTCATCTTTGTCGCCATATTTATCACAATATTTTGGCCGTTGTACGCTCCGGCCTTCTTCAGGTGGTTGGAATTTCGAATAGAACCTTTTATTTCGCTCACTGGGTAGACTGTTCTATTTACACGTGCCATGTTTGATGGATGTCAGTTATCAGTTATCTCCTGTTAATTTCCCTCTGTTACTGGATCTAACCAACGCCTTTATCCACTGTGCCATGTATTCTTGAGGACCTCTGGGTATGAATTTCTGGGTATTATAAACCTAATGTCTTCAACAACCACTTTTACCAGTGCTCATATTGCAATTTTTGGTGATATCATTCCATGTTTTTACCAGAGCTCATATTGCAACTTTTGTTGATATCATTGCTTTTCTCTGGTGCTCCTTATTACTGGTTCCCCTATTGTATTTATTTCTATGCTTGAAACGGGACAGGACCCAAAGAGTGTGAGATCAATACCCGGTTAAGGCAGTGGAGAACTTTCAGAGGGAAATTAGCAGGAGATAGCTGATAACTGACATCCTTCAAAAAATCAGTCTACCCCAGTGAGCGAAAAAAATTCAGTTCGAAATTCCAACCACCGAAACATTGTGATAAATATGGTGACAAAGATGAGGACAATAGTCCGAATAATGTAAATAATGTACAGAATACCTAGACATATATATATATATATATATATATATATATATATATATATATATATATAATGGAATATGCGTACACCTATGTTCCCCTCACTGGAATATGATTGGCTGGTGTCCATCATAAATACCGACGGACGTTTACGTTATGACAGAGTCAGAGTGTAAGTCTATAACGACGCTCATTGGACTACGCCATTGATCTACACTTCTTACCTGCTCCGATTACGATGCGTACCAGTCGATTACTGCTACCGTATTCTACTTGGTTATAGTAGCCAAAACCACTTAGTTACTTCGTTCAAATATATCCCTTTCGGGGACATATCAATGTATATATATATATATATATATATATATATATATATATATATATATATATATTATGCAGCACATATGTAATTGGTGAAAATCAACTCGTGACCCAGTAAGACCATCTCACATTTTAAATATCATCATTTCGTCGCTGATGATATTTCAAATGGCTTTTGAGACATGCAAGGTTCTTTCCATATTGCCAACATATCAGACTTCATGCTGGATGCTGTGGAAATATTGTGTGAGTCCGCTGGCTGATCGTTGGCAGATCGATTATGGCAGATTGTACATGTATGATCATCGGAGATGTCATATTGGTAATTGACATCACGATGACAACTGGTTGCTCCTGGTGCCCAAAATGTTTGAGAACAGCAGGATAGAATATGCACAACAAAAACGTGCATGCAGCTATATGAGAGGTGCCAACCCTCACCCAGAACGTGGATTGAAGGAATCACTTACGTGTGATCAATGTGACGGTATTTACTTTTCAAAAGCAGGTCTTTTCAGCCACATACGTAGTTGCACATATACATACATACAGAAAAATATTATGTATGCTTACTGTTTATGCACCGTATGTATTAACTGACACACACACTTATATTCACACAGACTCACTAAAGAGAAAGTCACTGTTAATAACTAATTCTCAAATTGCCCCCCCCCCAAAAAAAAAAATTGTATCGTCCGTTTCCAGTTTTGAGTAATTCCTGTATTAATTTTTAATTATTTGATTTTATTGTCTTTCATTCCTCGCTCACATCTTACGCTGTTCCTTTTGCTAACGACCATATATTTTCTACACTTACAATTGATAGTTAGCCCTTCTTTCTTGCTTTCCTTTAGTTCCTTGTCTAGGCCTTATTGCAGCTTTCTGTGTTTGCTATCAACACGGTTTCGTTTGTATATGTTATGCTAAGTGGTGTACGCCAATATGAATCATGGTAGGACTTTCGATGATCGCTTTGCTGTAGAAGTTCAATAAGAAGATGCATATTTGTCTTATGCTTATATCTATTCTGGTGCATTTGCTCAGTAAATCCTTGTAGGACTTCTAGTTCTTCGCCACGCGTTATATGGTTAATGAGAAGACACATCTATGCCTTACGGACGTTTATATTTAAGTGTATTTGCTCAATTCACTTTTCCTTGTTTGAGTTTGACATCTCCAATTCTTAGCACGGATTTTTTGTGGTTCCTCCTGTTAAGGGACACGAGTTCTGTTTAATTGCTATTGATGAATTGTCTTGTCTTTTGTCTCCCCCCCCTTTACTTCATTGTCTATTGTTTACTGTAATTGTTTTTTTTACTGTTTGCTATCAATACAGAGCGGTCTGCTTATCTTATATTGTTAACATTATGTCCGCTAACAATAAATCCTGGTACGACTTCTAGTTCTCTGAGCATCTCTTTGCAGTACAGAATAAATGAGAAGAGACATCTATGCCTTACGTCCTTTTTCTATTTTGGTGTATTTGCTAAATTCGTTTTCATTTACAAACACCTAGTTCTCAAAGACGACAATATTAACGGTCCTGATCTAGCGGTTCGGTTTCAATCACTTTCTCACCCCCGTAAGGTTGTCCCTCTATGTCTTTTCTATAAATACTTTCCGGGTGTGACGATAAACTACATCCGTGTCCTGGGTATGACGATAAACTACGTCCGACAGCAAGGCCTCTGATCAGGAGATTTTGAGGAGCGTGTTCCCAGGTCCACTCTGACCCGGTTAGGGTCCCAGCTATGGGCAAATAGTTAACCACCAAACTGGGGTTAAAATATTATGAAAGTGTAAAAATAGGTTTTAATACCAGCAATAAATTTTGAAAGAAATATTACCAGTGATACATTATTACAAGCAATACACTTTTTGAAAAAAAAAATTATTAGCAGCAATACATTTTTGGAGGCAAAAATATTGCCATCAATAAAAATTTTGTCGGCATTAAATAAACCATTGAAGTTGATATGCCGCAAACCAAACCAAACTAAACTAATAACTATTTTCAAGCTGTTCGTTATCGTATCTAGTTTTTTAATTAAGTGCAGCACTAGAATGGCGTCGAAATCTCATCAGTTTGAAGTTGAGCTGGCGAGATGTAGCCGTAAATTTTATGCTAAAAGTTTATTTTATCGAACTTCTCGCTTGTGGAACGTCCTTCTGGCTCCATACTTTCCAAACAACTTTAACCTGCAAATATTTAAACGCAATGTCAGTCGCTATCTACTGTCCTCCTGATTATTCTTTTCGCTTTCTGTTCATCATTATTATTTCTGTTCCTAATTCTTCCAAACCCCTTGTGTCTTAGTGGCAGTATTGCCTTGCTTGGAGTGATACCAATTAAAAAAAATAATCGCTTCGAATGAAAAGGTCGTGTTTATGGATAGTGTTTTTGTTCAACATAACAGCTGCTGTGTCGTTATTTTATTTTACTGTCAAGGGAATCATATACAATGCAGAGGAAGGGAAGAATTCTTTATGTGTTAAACGTTGACTTGTTATTTCTTTTAATATTTCTGTATTTTGGCAGCAGTATTTTGGCATTCGAGATGGTCGTTTATATAAATGCATATATTGCAAACAATTTTTTCTCACGATTACAAAACCTGATGCAGGTGTGATATCACTTTTCTATTCAGCTACCAACACTGACCAAAGATTAACCCAGGATCTTGTTTTCTTTGACAGCATGGTGTGAGATTTAAGTGTAATATCTATTCTAGCATAATACCACACATCGACATATTTTTATTTGATTTCACAATAACCGCGTTCGTAGTTATTTTTTTTAAGAAAGTTTTATGATGGGGGATCTGAAAAATGTTGACTTAAAAAGCAGTATTTAAAGAAATTCTTCTTAACAATTTCGTAAAAGTTCGTAGAGGAAATATTTAGTAGCGTTCATCACTGGTTGTGCTTTGCTTAACGGTCTTGGCAAAGATCATCCTTCTTTGAACATTGTAGACTGGCAATAGAGATTCGCAAACAAAGAACGGCACCAAATAACGGAAACAGCGTCACATAATAATTACCAACAGCAGCAACAACTAAAATGGATAGCACATGTAACGCGAAGAGAAAATAATGACATAATGTAGATGTTGATATTACACACTACTTCCAACAAAAGGCTAGCCAGGAAACCGCTATCAATACTGGAAAGAGCGATAACAGTTACTGGACTTAAGAAACCTATTTTCCTTAAATAAATTTTAAGAGAATGATTTCATAAATTTTAATCGAAACCAGCATTGACTCCTCGGTCAATAAATGCCGAATGTTTCCTTATAGGGAAACGGATAATATTACCATTACACATCGTATTCTGTATAATATATTCTCTTTTGTGTGTCATTAAAAGACCAGTACCTTATGACGTAAGTGATAGTAATGTTTTTGGTTTATCAGCTTATATCATTGAAATCAATTTTAGAATATATTTTCGAGCGACAATAAAAAGTAAGTAATCTGATCATTTATATTTAATTATACATTATTATTTTTTAAGGGCGCTTAAAGAATTTTCTGAAAACTTTTTTTTTAAAATTCGGTGAGAATTTCCTCTTCACGACACAGCGTTATATTTAGGCACGGACAAATGTCATACTGTTCATCGCGTTTCCATTTAGTCATGATATGAAGAACTATCTCTATTCAAAAATGTCTTCTTTATGCCGATAAGATATTTTGGGGAATAAAGTACAAAAAAAAAATGTTTCTTTTTGGAAGAATTGACTTTAAGATTCTGAATACCATTTTTCAGTGCTTGCTAAATAATAATCTAGAAATATAACTCGAATAAATGTTAAGATATTGAGTTCAAAAGAAAGTTCTTCCCAACCATTTTTTTCTTTCTTTTTACGCGCATGCACCTTTTTTTTCATAATGTTTCAGACTGTCATTCCCGCTTCTATGACTGGCTAACCCAGTGGTTCTAAACAAATTTTTAATCATGAACTCTTTTCATGGGAGTGCGAATAGTGTAAGGGAAATCGGGCGCGGAAAATGGTAATCGGCGATACGAGTTCAAATTCTTGGCTAGTCCACGGCGTTCACTTTCGCGATAATGCCCTTCGGAAAGACATTAATCCGTTTCTTCTCTCCCCAGCCATAGGTTAAATAGTGACTTACACTGGACTCACTAGCCTTGGATGGCAATCAGTCTGAGAGAAAGAAAAAATATAATTACAAATCTTGAATGTCCTCAAGTGATGTAGTTTCTGTTATTTGGTACAGATTTTGTTTGTGATTGTGTTGCGCCAGGCTACAAGTTTCGTGGAAAGGTTGTCTTCACGAAAACCTACAGGTTTCATTCGCTCGAATGCATTTCTAATCGTTGCTTTGAGAAAGCAGCTAAATTCAACTGACAGTTTAGATATTTCTGAACGACTTCGACGCCATGCATGAGATCCATATGAATGTATTGATCTGATGAGAATATTTAAGTACGTAACTCGAGTTTTTACGTCAGTCATTTGATTTTGTAGCAACTTGGAAATATACAATAAAATCTTCCTACCACAAAATGAAATAGAAATCGAAAAATTGTTCGGGTATGGGTATGGACGACCAACATTTACCCAAAGGCCCAAGTATAAACGCGTCTAATGTTCATCAAGTATCTACCTGTAGCCTCAAGTATAAACACGTATAATATTTACCTATAAAAATGCGTTCAATGCTTACTTATTGACTCTAGTATGAATACGTCTATCCTACTCTAGTATAAACATGTTCAGTGTTTGCCTATGGACACAATCATAAACCTAACCAATGTTTACCTATTGACTCTAGTATGAATACGTCTATCCTACTCTAGTATGAACATGTTCAGTGTTTGCCTATGGACACAATCATAAACCTAATCAATGTTTACCTATTGACTCTAGTCTGAATACGTCTATCCTACTCTAGTATAAACATGTTCAGTGTTTGCCTAGGGCACAATGAATAACCAATGCTTACCTATTGACTCTAGTATGAATACGTCTATCCTACTCTAGTATAAACATGTTCAGTGTTTGCCTATGGACACAATCATAAACCTAATCAATGTTTACCTATAGGCACAACTATAAACCTGACTAATATAGACTTCTAGAATCAAGTATAAACCCTATCAAGTTTTAGCAACAGACTCAAGTATAAAGACGCCCAGTGTTTACCTACATACTCTAATATAAACTCACCCAGTTAACCTATACACTAAGGTGTGTTGCAGTTTTTTTGTGTATATATATATATGTAACTAGTGAGTTAGCTCAAATGACTTAACTCACTTTATAGTCCACCAATAGAAGGTTAACCAAT